CCCCACCCTCACCCCCACCCTCACCCTCACCCTAACACCCACCCTCACCCCCACCCTCACCCTCACCCTCACCCTCACCCCCACCCTCACCCTCATCCTCACCCCCACCCTCACCCTCACCCTCACCCCCACCCTCACCCCCACCCTCACCCTCATCCTCACCCTCATCCCCACCCTCACCCTCACCCCCACCCTCACCCTCATCCTCACCCTCACCCTCACCCTCACCCTCATCCTCACCCTCACCCCCACCCTCACCCCCACCCTCACCCTCACCCCCACCCTCATCCTCACTCCAACACTCACCCTCACCCTCACCCCCACCCTCACCCTCACCCTCATCCTCACCCCCACCCTCACCCTCACCCCCTCCCTCACCCCCACCCTCACCCTCACCCTCACCCTCACCTTCACCCCCACCCTCACCCCCACCCTCACCCTCATCCTCACCCTCACCCCCACCCTCACCCTCACCCCCACCCTCACCCTCACCCTCACCCTCACCCTCACCCTCACCCTCACCCCCACCCTCACCCTCACCCTCACCCCCACCCCCACCCTCACCCTCACCCTCACCCCTCAGTCCTCACACTCACCCCTCACCCCCACCCTCACCCTCACCCTCACCCTCACCCTCCCCCACCCCTCACCCCTGTGCACTCAGCACCAGACACTGGCCCAGGCCTCTTCCTCTTCCCCGCCCGGGCGCCCTCTCTCCTCCATCTCCCTCACTTCCCTCCATCTGTTCACACCCGTTCTCGCCCTCGTCCTTCTCCCTGAATCACTTCCATCTGCCCAGGTTTCCATTATCAACCTGCTCCCCCGTCTCTCTCTCTTAAAAAAAAAAAAAAATAGGTTTTTATTGATGTCGGAGAGGAAGGGAGAGGGAGATGGAGAGAAACATCAATGATGCAAATCACTGATCGCCTGCCTCCTGCACTCTCCACACCTGGGATCAAGCCTGCAGCTCACACATGTGCTCCGACTGGGAAGCAAACTCTGACCTCCTGGTTCAAAGGTCAACGCTCACCCACTGAGCCACCTGGTCTGGGCATTGTCTCCTTTTTTGATCTTCCCCCCCCCATCCCCTTTCTCTCTGCCCACGTGTCTGACCTGCTCCCGGCGTCTGTCTCTCTGTCTGACTGACCCCTCGGCGTCCAGCCCTGCTGAGGCTCCCCTCTGCCCCCAGGCTGGCCCGCCCCGCCCACTGCCCGGGACACCACGTGGTGGGAATGGTGTCCAGTCGGGGCTGCAGGCAGCTGGTGGGCCCCCGGGACTCACAGGGTCCCCTCTCACCCCGGAGGCCCCGGGCCCAGCAGGAGTCCTCTGGTCTCGCCGGCCTGGCTGCCCGTGTCTTCTGCTGAAAACCAGGGCACGGCCGGGAGCGGGGACTGGACACACCTCACTTCCAGTCAGCGCCCGAGGGACTCCCTTCCGGAGGGCATTCTGGGCCCCCAGTTCCTGCTCCCTCGGGTAGCCACGGAGAATTTCACATCACCCCATGCGGGTGAATCCGTCTGCTTAGACGGGAGAAACAGCTCGCCGGGCCAGCTCAGTGGACAGAGCATCAGCCTGTAGACCAAAGGGCCCCGGGTTCGATTCCGGTCATGGGCACGGACCTCGCTGGCAGGCTCCTCCCCAGCCCGGGCCCTGGTCGGGGCGAGGCCAGGAGGCAGCCCATCAATGTGTTTCTCTCTCATCGATGTTTCTCTCTGTCCCTGCCTCTCTCGTCCCCGCTCCCTAAGAGCCCACGGAAAGTATCCGGGTGAGGATTGGAAATTAAAAAATAAAACCGGGAGAAACAGCTCCACGGGAGCTGGGCGGGTTCTCACGCCCTGGGACCCGGCCGCTGGCGCTCACACGGGGTCCCAGACGGGGTTCCCCCGGGGAGCGGGGAACCCGGCTCGGCTCTGATCGGCCCTCACACGGGGCGGACACACGGGCAAGGACGGGACGGCAGGGCGGGTTCCCAATACCCTGCAGGGTCCCTGCCGCCCGGCGAGGTCTCAGCGGCCTCAGCGGCCCCGGGGCTCTGCCTGGCGCTGAAGTCACTGCAATGGGGGTGACGTGTCCCCTCCGAGTCTCTCTCAGGCTCACCTTGTTCCCTGAGGGGAGGAGGGACCATCGGGTCACACTCACCTGGTGCCAATGCCGCGGGGGGGGGGGGCCACGTGGGGGTGGCACTGGGGTCCTGGGAGACTGAGGGAGAGTGGGCTCCCCTCGATAAGGAAGGGCCCCACACGGTGTGTGAACCCCATCACCCCCCCTCCCCCCGTAGCCCTGCCCGGGCAGGCACCTCAGCGGACCGGTCCCTGCTGCCTGCAAGGCCCCCGCCCCCGCCCCCGCCTGCCCATGCTATAAAGGAGCAATAATTCGTTAAATTGATTGCCAATTTGCTTTCCTCACGTGGCTGCCTCTCTCCCTGGACGTGGATCCAGGAGAGCATATCCCATTAATCTGACAACAGCCGAGTTCAGGGGAAAACAGGCTGTGAGCCCGGCTGAGGTGGGGGTCTAGGCGGCCCCTGCGAGGGCCGGATTTCTGCGGGAAGGACGGGCAGGGAGCGGCGGGCGCGGCGCCGTCGGGCGTTAACATGGCCCCGCGGCGTTTCTGGGAGGAAGGCGACCACACCAGCGATGCCCCCGCCTCCCGGGGTTTTCTCATTTACTCTTTTACTGACGTCAGAGAGGAAGGGAGGGGAAGAGAGAGAGACATCCAGGAGGAGAGAGAATCGTGGGCTGGCTGCCTCCTGCGCGCCCCCTCCTGGGGATGGAGCCCCCAACCCGGGCCTGTGCCCTGACCGGGAATCGAACCGTGACCTCCTGGTTCCTAGGTCCACGCTCAGCCCTGAGCCCGCCGGCCGGCCGGGCCTCCCCAAGTGTAGCTTCCTGCCGGCGTCTTAGAGCGCCGGCACCTGACGGACGCGGATTGAAGACCCTGCCCCTTCCTTCCTTGCCTGGGCCTCTCGGCGCACAGTCACCCCCGGAACCTGCACCCCCACCTACAAAGGAGCCCATCCCGCGGGCAGGGGCCCTCCTCCCTCCCTCTCCCCTCCCTCTGCCCCCCCGCTTGGCCAGGACGGGTCGAGGCTGGCCGCCGAGGGCAGATCCAGCTCACGGTGATGCTTGTGGTTCCAAACAGGTGGGGCTCATGCTGATGGGGGAGGGGAGGGCGCAGGACACAGAATCGCCTGCCCCGTGGGGTGCTGGGAAGGAAGGGAGTCAGCTCATTGCAGAGGCTGAGCCCACTCAGCTCCGCCCGCCAGGCCGCACGGCCCCAAGGATGCCCACCTGGGGTGAGAGGCTACCAGGGGGAGGGGTGGGGAGTGGGGGGTGCAGTGCAGGGGGGTGGGGGAGGGTAGGAAGCTGGGGTGCCCTGAAACGAGAGGGGGGAAGGCTGGGACCAGCTCACACACTGAGCCTCCAAGCCAGCCCTGCTCTGCCTGAGAAGCCACCGCGGAGGGGGGAGCCTGGGGCACCTGCGGTGAGAGCAGGACCGTGGAGGCCGCTGGGGGCTGGGCCGCGGGGAGGGGCGAGGGAGCAGTGGAGGTCCGGACCGGCACCCGGATCGGGCGCCTGGCGAGGCCGGCCCCGGGGGCAGAGGTCCCGTGTGCAGTGGCCTGAGACTCTCTCCCGCCCCCCACGTCCCCGCGGACCAGAGGGGACCTGAGGGTGCTCCTCTGAACAGAGGGGGACGCCCCCTCCTTGGAAGCTGAGAATGTGGCTTTGTAACCCAAACGGGGCCTGGGCCTCAGCAGAGGGAGGCCCTGGGGCCCTGGGGGTGACGCAGCCTCAGAGCCACCCGGAGGCACAGGCGCATGGCAGGTGCGGGGGGTGGCAGGGGGTGCAGGGGGGCTCCTGACATTCCGCCCACCTCCCAGGCAGCCCGCACACTCCGTGCCTCAGCTTCCCCACTACAGGCCCCGGGCGTGGGGTCCAGATGCGGGAACACCCCTTGTCCAGGGACGTGCGCCCATGCCTGGCTCTCCCCTCCTGCCAGTCACCCCACATCGGGAGGCCCTGTACCTGTGAGTCAGTACCAGGGGCGCCCTAAGGACGGCAGGAACCAGCCCTGGAGCCGCAGCGCCCTGGGGTCCTCTGCCCCCCCCCCCCGGGGCGGGACTTGCGGGGCTCGGGGCGGGGCGGGGGGGGGGGGCACCGAGAGAATGAACACGAGGACTCGAAGCGGCACTGCTCGGTCACAGAGTTTATTAGCAACAGCAAGACAAGGGGCCGGGCCTCAGCGTCGTCCACATCCATCCACACGGACCTCGCGGCCCACGCGGTGCCCAGCACACGTCACGCCTCGCACCACGCAGAGGCGACAGGGCTTCCCGGCACGCGCCTCCGTCCAGGGACACCTCCAGCATCCTAATTGCCGAGCTCGCCCGGTCCCCAGGAAGTGACCGCTGGCACACGACCACCCCCCCCCCCCCCCCGCCTCTGCACGTGGGGCCTCAGCTCCTGCTTGTCTGTGGGCCTGGGGAGGAGCTGCCGTCCTGGGTCTGACCGGCACGGGTTCCCACACTCGCAACGTGACCGCGTACACACTAGGGAGGGGGCCGCCGCACTCTATGCGTCACAGTACAGGACACGGACACGGGACCACGTAGGGCTGCCAGGGCAGGGACCGAGCCCGCCCCCTCGGCAGGCCTTCCACGGGTAGGGGTTGGGGGCGGGGGGGAGGGGGGAGCGAGGGGGCTGGGAGCACCGGGCTGGTCACCGGGAGGCACAGGGGAGGGAGCCCTCGCTCTGCACACCTCACTCAGGCGTGGCGGTCGCAGAGCGCGGGGACACGCGGGGACACGTGGGGCGGAACCCCGCCTCCCGCACCGCGTGTACATGCTGTGTGGTGGCCCCGGGCAACCCCCTCGCCAACAGCGACTATCTGCTCAGCACACGCGTGCAGCCTTTCTCCTCCTGACCTGCTCGAGGGGCGGGGCGGGAGCTGCCGGGGGCAGCGCGACAGCAGGCCCGTCCAGCCGGACCGGCCAGAGCGGGTCACTTACCTGCAAGAAAACGGCACAGGCATTAGACGCCCGGCACCGGGCCAGGGACTGACTCGGGTGCGAGGCCCACAGAGCAGTGTGCGGGGGACGCCCCCGCCCCCCACCCCACAGCGAGAGCGGCAGGAGGGTAAGCGGCCGGCAGCCAGGCGGGAGGTGCCGTCAGCGCGGTGGGGGCGGCGTGTGGAAGCGGCTGTGCACACAGCAGCGGGACACGGGAAAGGAGGACCTGACTGGGCAGCCAGGTGTGGCGAGTCCAGGCAGCCGTCGGGCCCCCAGGCCTCCGGTCCAGCACTGAGGACCGAGGTGCCACCGCGGAGCTCAGCTGGGGACCCCCCCTCAGGACAGCAACGGGGTCACTCGCCCCTGGTCTGCCTGTCCCCGGAGCGGTGTCTGTTCTGACCACACTCTCAGCATTCTCATCCTCCCTCGAACCCTGAAGTCCTGGGAGGGAGGGAAGTGTGAGTGTGTGAGTGCATGTGAGTGAGCGAGCAGGTATGAGCGTGTGTGTACGCCTGTGAGTGTATGCCAGTGATATGTGTGCATGTAAGTGTGTGCACCTGTGTGTGCAAGTATGTGCAGGCACCAGTGTGTGAATCTATGCATGCATGTGTGCGCATTTATGCATGTATTCACACACCTGCGTGTGTTAGTGTGTGCATGTATGTTCACACATGTGGTGTGTGTGGGCTGAACCAAAGAGCTCCGCTGCTCCCTGGCTCGGTCCTGGATCCGAGGGGACTGGGACGGGACGGCAGAGGGGGCGTCCAGACCCCGGAGGCGCTGCTGGCTCGGGGCAGCGTGCGGAGCCGGCCCCCACGGCCAGGGGACGGAAGGTAAATGAGGCGAATGGCCACACGTCTGTGGCTCAGACGCCGTCCGTGTGTCTGTGCTGAGGCGGGGAGCAGCCCGCCTGGCACACAGCGGGTTCACACCGCGCTCTGCCAGCCTCGGGGCGCCCTCAGCCCAGGCGTTCCAGTCCGTGCACAGGAGGAGGGGGGAGCACAGGGAGGGGGCGCCCTTCGGAGGCTGTCCCGGCACCCCCACTCCGCACACAGAGCACTGGGCTGGGGGGGACGGGGCGCGCCTGCCCAGGGCGGCTGGTCTCAGGGGGCGCCTGGCGACAGCACCCATGCTTCATCCCAGAAGGGTGTGCGCTAACTCGCTGCATTGCTCTGGGCCCTCAGGGCGAGCCACAGCGACCCAGCCCCAGGCCCCGGACCACACGAGGAGCGGGCGCCCCATAGGGAGCGCCCAAGTCCACAGGAGGGAGGGGAGTGTGTGCTCCACCCAGGCTCCGGCACGCCAGCCCACGGGAGGGTGCAGGCCCTCGGCCGGGAACACACAGGGCTGAGGCCAGGCCTGCAGCCGCCATCCCGCCCTCCGCACGCACGGGAGGCCAGGGGGTCGGGGCCGGACAGAACAGGCCGCAGGGGAGACGTGGGACCCTGGATTCCCGGCCAACACCGGCCCCCTCTACCAGTGACGCCCACGGGCGCCAACCTTCAGCTACTGTGTAGACTGGGAGGGCAATGTGCCCCACAAAGCCCTCTGCCCCCGCCCCGCCCCGCCCGCCACGGGAGCCCAGCGGACAGCGACCCCGTTTCCGGCCGGACACGCAGAGGGATGCGCGGGCCGGGCTCCTGGGCGAGGGGAGGGGGAGGGGAGGGCTGAGCACAGGTCGGCGGCAGGCCCCTCCCGAGCACCAGGGCAGGTCTCCGCGGGCCTCCCTGGGCAGAGCAGGGCCGGCCGCTTCTCAGCGGGAGGGGGGGCAGGTCAAAGAAACCCCACACCGGCTCCCAGAAACCAGGGGTCCCGCTGGCCTCCCCGGGGAGTCTGTGTGTGAGAGCTCCAGACCCCGGGGGTAAAATGTTCCCTCTGCCTCTGCCCTCCTTCCTCCTCCCTCCTTTCCTCCTCCCTCCTCCCTCCTCCCTTCTTCCCTCCTCCCTCCTTCCTTCCTTTTTTCCTCCCTCCTCCCTCCTCCCTTCTTCCCTCCTCCCTTCTTCCCTCCTCCCTCCTTCCTTCTTCCCTCCTCCCTCCTCCTTCCTCCTCCCTCCTCCCTCCTTTCCTCCTCCCTCCTCCCTCCTTCCTCCTCCCTCCCTACTTCCTCCCTCCTCCATCCTTCCTCCTCCTTCCTCCTCCCTCCTTCCTCCTCCTCCCTTCTTCCTCCTCCCTCCTCCCTCCCACTGGGAGGTCAGGCACAGAACCCCTCCCCGCTGCCTTCATCCCCTCTTGGAGAGAAACTGTAACTTGGGACCCGGATGCTGCTGCCCAAGGGCCGAAGGGGTGACCAGGCAGAGGTGCACGCGTGGCAGGAACCGGGGCGCTGCGAGCTGCTGTTTGGGGGGGGGGGGGGGGGGGCGGGGGCGAGCTGGGCCGGAGCTCGGCTCGGAGAAAAGGGCTCGGAGACAGCAGGCTGCTCCCAGGCAGGCTCCCTCCTCACGGGAAGGAGGGTGGGAAATTGATGGGTAATATGAGCTCATTTCAATAATAAAGAGCTCGGGAGCGCGCCCGGTTTTGATCTTTTCTGAAGCCTGGATTCCTGGCAGGGACCGGGTCCTACTCAGGATCTGACAGCACTGGGAATGGACTTAAAGACACACCCCAGCCACAGTCAACGGAGGCGCCCTCACACACGTACAACAGCGGAAGGCAGATGTCCACCACCCTGCTCCCCAGAAGGAAAGGGGGGGCTGGCCTGGCCACACCCTCTCGTCTCCTCTTACACCCGCGTTAACAGCTCCCAAAGGAGGGGCCTGTGTGGCCGGACGAGCCTGCGGACCACTCAGTACAGGGGCTGCAGCATTGGGGGCTGGCAGCTTTGGGGGGCTGGCAGCTTTGGGGGATTGGCAGCTTTGGGGGGCTGGCAGCATTGGGGGGCTGGCAGCTTTGGGGGGCTGGCAGCTTTGGGGGGCTGGCAGCATTGGGGGGTGTCAGGAAGCCATAGTGGTCTTTGAGAATTCGAAAAATCTCTCTGACGGCTGGTCCAGCTCCTCGGGAGTTAGGAAGGAGAGGGATACATGTCCATCTCAAGTACCAACCAGTCCAGCTTCCCAAACCAGTGTGTGCAAGGACGTCAGATTCAGAGGCTGCAAAATTCGCCCGCCTTCCTGTCTTCCTCCCTTCCCTCCCTCCCCTCCTTCCTTCCTTCCTCCCTTCCCTCCCTTTCCTCTGTTTCCTTCCATCCCTCCTTCCTTCCCTCCTCTTTCCTTCCCCCTCCCTCCCACCCCTCCTTTGTCACAGGTGAAGTCGGTCACAGACTGAAGATGGAAGGCACCGCCCTTCGTCTCTGGAGAGGCCCGTGGGGCTGAGCGTCCGTCCTGAGAGGCTTGCCCGCGAGGCAGCCTGAGCCCCGAAGGAGGACTGGACCCCCCAGCCCCGGCCCCAGGCGCCTCCCGTCCACCAGAGCCCCGTCGGCCCCGTTCCAGGCTCCGGAGCCCCGGGAGCCCCGAGGAGGCAGAGGCGCCAGCTCGCTAAGCAGAGCGGACACACGGGGTCACAACACAGGGCTGCACATTTCTCGCTGGGACAGCAGACGGACAGGTGACGAGACAGACGGACAGAAGGCAGCAGCAGGACAGAAGGCCCGGGGCGCGGTCCCAGCCGCTAAAGGTGAAGCACAGACGCCCCGCAGCCCCCACCGCACCCCTGTGTGGAGACAGGTCCCTGGCTCCCGCCTCGGGGTCCACGTGAGGGGTCAGCAGCCTGGCGTGCGCAGGAAGGAAGCGGGGAGAGGGTTTGGCTGGGAGCAGCGGGGGCACCTCCCCGCTCCGAAGGCGTCAGTTAATGCTGAGGAGGTTGCACGTTGCCATGTCCCTCCCCTTCGCGTGCCCTCCCCCTCCAGGGGTTCAAGACGGGGTCCCTCCCCTGGGAGACCACCCCGTCCCAGGGCCCCGCCATGCGAACAGCAGTCAGAGCAGCCCCTCCAGGATCGGGGGCGGGGGGCTCAGGTGTCCAGTTCAAAACCCGCCAGTGCGTCAGTCTGTCCGACCGCCCGTGCTTACCGAGTGCAGGCCCAGCCTGCGTGCCGGGAGAGGACCCGGGAGGAGGGTTCTAGAACTTACCGCACACGTCCGGCCTCTTGGCGCATCCCGAGCCGGCGGCGCCCCCGGCGAGCCCGTTGAAGGCGGCCAGGCCCTCGGCGCTGTAGGCCCTGAGCACCGACAGCATGTTCACCGGCTTCTCCGGGGCCGGGAGGAGGCCGGGGCTGTGCCACGGCTTCTCCGACGCCAGTGCCTGGGCGGGGGCGGGCTGCGGGGCGCCCGTGAGCAGCAGGCCGTCCCCGCCGTCGCCGCCACCGCCGCCGTCCTTGCCGGGGGCCGCGGGCGGCTTCCTCGCCGCCTCGGGCTCTGTGTCGACCTCGTCGTCCTCGTCGTCGCCCCTGGCGGAGTCCACGTCCTCGGAGGAGGCGGCGTCGGACAGGCCGTCGGCCGCGCTCTTGTCCGCGGCGTCGGGGATCACGATGGGGGCGTCGTCCTCCGGGGGGGCCTTGCCCTCGGGCCCTTTGCCGGGGCAGGAGCTGGCGGCTCCCGAGCTCCCGGCGCCGCCAGGGTACACGCCGAACTGCTTGTAGAAGTCGGACGGGAAGCTGCAGAACGTGGCGTCCACGTGGCCGGGCCACGGGCCGCTGCTCGGCTCGCCCAGGGTCTCCGTGGGCGGTCCCGGGGCCGTCTTCTCGGGAGCCGCGTCCAGAGGCCCCACCAGGGAGGCCAGGGCCGCCTCCTTGCCCGCCTCCCGCGCCTGCTCCTTGCCGTGGCCCGCCACGCCCGCGGCGGGGTCCCTGCGCCTGGCCCGGCCCAGGTGGTTGGCCTGCAGGTGCAGCGCCATGAGCTCCACGGAGGACGTGGTGAAGGCGCAGAACAGGCAGCCGTGCCACGCCACGCTGTCCCGCACCGTCACCTGGGAGCCGGGCAGGGCGGGGGCGTCCGGCCGCACCGACAGGTCCAGGGGCTCGTACTGGGACTTCTCCGGCCTCCGGGGGGGCGCCTTCCCGCCGGCCCTGTCCTCGCCGCCGCCGTCCGCCCCGCGGGCTCTGGCGGACGGGGCGTCCGGCGGGGCCTTGTCCTTGGCGGCCCTCTCCCTGCGCAGGGAGCTGAGCACGAAGCTGTCCATGAAGGCCTGCAGGGAGCCCTGGAAGCTCACGCCGTTGCCCGCCAGGCCCTGGTAGGCTCTGCCGGCCTCGGAGAAGGGGGCGCCCTTGGCGGGAAGGTCGGTGCCTTTCGGGGCGTCGGACGGGGCCTCCGAGGAGGAAGACACGCTGCCGCCGGCCGGGCCGGGGTGGTCCCCGGACGAGAGCGCTCCGGCCGGCCACGGCGGGGCGGCGGGGCCCCCGCGGAAGTCCACGCCGGGGAGGCCCTTGAAGGCGCCCCTCAGGACGTCGGGCCTGAGGAACAGCGCGGCCCTGCTGGACGGCTCGTCGCGGGGGTCCGGGCCGGCGGGCGGGCCGGACAGGGGCCCCGCCCCGTTCTGCCGCTCCCGGTGGTGCCGCTCCAGGTGGTACTTCAGGGAGGCGGACTGGGTGCCCGCGTAGTCGCAGTGCGGGCACTTGTAGGGCTTCTCACCTGCCGGGGCGGGCACGGGGGGAAGGGGGGGGAGAGAAGAGAGAGAGTTTATCTCGCTTTGCTGCTCGCGAGGCTGGAAGGAGCAGAGCCTGTTCTTGAACACAAAGCAGCGCCAGCTAATAATTAGCCGGAGAACAACCGCTCGTTAATAGGAGAATAATTCGTGTTTTCCAGCCTGTCTTAACGATCCCGTACCATTGGGGACTCCTCAGGAATGACATACTATCCACACACAATTAGCCATCTCTTTCTTCATCTAACGTGGGGAAGCGCTATAGATTTAAAAGCTATGATTATGAAAATTAAGCGTAATAATTCCAGCCGCGGCGATGGTGAGGCGCGCAGGTTTTGGGAGGACGGCGTGGGTAAGGAACGGCCGGGCGCGGCGTGTTCGTGTGTACCCCCGCCCTGGAATTTGTTTGAATTATACACATGGAAACCATCTTTAAACCTAAAAATTTTATGGCCCTGTTACGCAAGACTGAAATGAGTGATTTAAGCCTGGCTCGCAGTAAATCATGGATATAATTAGCAAATGGCACACCGCGCGGGCCATTCATCATCGTCCGGAGGGCGCCGGCCCAGGGCGGGGAGCGGCAGGCCCGGCATTGTTTCCAAAGAGAGATCCATAAATACCGATTCCCTAAAATATTAACGCCGTCCCCGCGCACGCACGTGAAGACGTACCGTTAAGACCGAGCGCAGTTCATAAAGCTTAAAAGAAAACGAGTAATAAAAGGGGGCAAAACATACTTAGCGTCGGCGTCGGGAATTAACGTTATCTACTGGCCTGCGCAGGGCCCTAAATTTGTCCTAATGGCGAGCCCAACGCCGCGGCAGTAAAACGCGTAATTTACCTGTAATAGGCGCTTTCGAGAGAATAAAAACCGCGTTAAGGGGCGTTTTAAAACATATAAGGCCATTTCCGCGAATTAAATATTTATTTCAATTCCGCACCCGCTCCTGTTGTCCCCGCCTCCACAGAGGAGACGTGGGCGCATAGGGCCCAGGCCAGGTGCACCGTGGGCCCCGGGGACAGGAGGCGGCGCACGCGCGGGTTTAAATCAGTGGCTAGAGCGTCAGCCTGCGGACTCAAGGGTCCCAGGTTCGATTCCGGTCAAGGGCATGTACCTTGGTTGCAGGCACATCCCCAGTGTGGGGTGTGCAGGAGACAGCTAATGGATGTTTCTCTCTCATCAATGTTTCTAGCTCTCTCTCCCTCTCCTCTCCTCTCTTTAAAAAATCAGTAAAATATATATATTAATATATATATATATATATATATATATATATATATATATTTTTTTTTTTTTAAGAGAAAAGAAGGGACGCAGGGTTTCAGGCGCTGCCTCCACGCCCCGCCTCAGTCCCATGGGAGGCCTCCATGGACAGAGCTGGGCCGCCGGGGGGGGGGGGGTCGGCAGCCGGTGCAGCCAGGCGGCAGGGCTGACCAGGACGCAGGGTCGGGCTGGGGTCAGGGGGCACCGGGGCTGGGTGAGGCCCGCAGGTGCTGGGTGAGGCGAGGGCTGCCGCAGAGCACACCTGGGCAGTTAGGTGCCGTAGTATTTCACCCGCGGGGTCTGCAGGCAGCGCCGGCCTCCGTGGTGGGGGCTGCAGAGGGAGGGTGTGGACGCCCGTGGGCCTGGGCGGGGAGCACGGGGCCGCACACAGGAGCCGTGGTCCTGACGCCCTAGGTCAGCGTGGGGCCCGTGGGAGCATTGCTCCAGAGTGAGCTGAGGAGTCAGACAAACTGCCAACACTAACCCCTCCACGGCCAGAAATCCTGCTGCCGCCGCCTGCCGCGCAGCCGGAGCTGGAAACCGGCGCCGCTCCGGAGGGGGCTCCGGAGGGCGGGCAGCTGAGCGGGGAGGCCCTGCCCCTCTGCACCAGGACGGCTGAGTGAGGGCTGGGACTAGGGCCCACAACCCCACATCCGGCCTGTGCCTCCTCGCCGCTGGCGTGGGACACTGGAGCATGTGTTCTCAAAGGTCTCCTGTCAGCCTGAAACCGGAGACGCCTGTGTGCACTCACACTCACACACACACACCTGTGCACACACACACACACACACCCGGAGACGCCCGTGTGCACTCACACTCACACACACACCCGGAGACGCCCGTGTGCACTCACACTCACACACACACACCCTGAGACGCCCGTGTGCACTCACACTCACACACACACACCTGTGCACACACACACACCCAGAGACGCCCGTGTGCACTCACACTCACACACACACACCTGTGCACACACACACACACCCGGAGATGCCCGTGTGCACTCACGCTCACACATACACACCCGTGCACACACACACACACACCCGGAGACGCCCATGTGCACTCACACTCACACACACACACCTGTGCACACACACACACCCGGAGACACCCGTGTGCACTCACACTCACACATACACACCTGTGCACGCGCACACACACACACACACACCCGGAGACGCCCGTGTGCACTCACACTCACACACACACACCTGTGCACACACACACCCGGAGATGCCTGTGTGCACTCACACTCACACACACACCTGTGCGCGCGCACACACACACACACACACACACACGGAGACGCCCGTGTGCACTCACACTCACACATACATACATGTGCGCGCACACACACTCTCGTGCATACACATCTTACACCACACACTCCATACACCACACACACATGCATGTGTGCGCACACACACAAACAATACAGCACACACATCACGTAACACATGCACACGGATGCACACACATCACATAATACAGAGATGCACACACGCACACACACCCCTCTTCCATTTGGCCAATGGACAAATGCGAGCCCACCTGTGCTGAGAGCTACTGCCCAGTCCACGCCATCCACCTGGCCACTGGCTGCAGCCTGGCAGGGCTGGTGCCAACGCTCGGGCGTCTGCCCAGGAGACAGCCATTGACGCCCAGCCCCTCCCGCCCAGCAGACCCTGCCCGGGACTCGGAAAGGTGTTCCCTGTGCAGCTGCGTGGCCCCGGCCGCCCAGGCCCGGCCAGCAGCGCCGCCAGCTGAGTGACTGGCCACGTAGGCCTCACGTGAGTCCAAACCCGCCGGGGGACCCCTCGGGCTGCCCCGCTTCTCGGACGCCTGGGACCGTAATGACTGGGACGCCATCTCTGCATCCGCCGGTGCGGGAGCCTCCCTCTCCCGGGCCTTCCCCGCCAGGCTCACCTCGGGCTGGGAGACGGCGGGCAGACCCACGCCGCTCCCACGGGGCGGCCGCCACACAAGTCCAACCAGCTGTGGACACGGCGACCGCTGATGCTCTAGGCCCGTGGTCGGCAAACTCATCCGTCCACAGAGCCAAATACCAACAGGACAACGACTGACATGTCTTTGGAGAGCCAAGTTTTTTAAACTTAAACTTCTTCCAACGCCACTTCTTCAACATAGACTCGCCCAGGCCGTGGTGTTTTGTGGAAGAGCCACACTCCAGGGGCCAAAGAGCTGCAGGTGGCTCGGGAGCCACGGTTTGCCAACCACGGCTCTAGGCAAAGCCACACTCCAGTTTCCTACGGGCAGCTCCCTGGCTTTTAAACGCTGGCAGCTGCCTAAACACGTCCCCAAATGTTGGGGCCACGGAGCCCCCTCTGCCAGCCGGTCCGGCTCCAGGGACCCTCCGAAGGCTGCGCCTGGGGGCGGGCCGGGGCGGGGCCAGTCCCCACCCACCGAGGCAGGCCAGCGCGCCGGGACCTTCCCGGGACCTCCCACCTTTCCGGACGCCGCCGCTCCGGGGTGCAGCTGGAACCGGGGTCACAGAGCCTCCGCAGCCCCTCTCAGCAGGCGGACGCAGGGGTGGGAGCGTCCAGCCCGCGGGCCACGTGAGACCCTCGAAATCGTGGGGTCTGGCCCTGCCGAGGCCCAAGGGGGAAGTGATTAGGTGTTTGCCCAGATAGAGCAGGCGAATGTCTAAGCCAGTGGTCGGCAAACCACGGCTCGTGAGCCACATGCGGCTCTTTGGCCCCTGGAGTGTGGCTCTTCCACAGAACACTGCGGCCTGGGCGAGTCCGTGTTGAAGAAGTGGCGTTAGGAGAAGTTTACGTTTATAAAGTGTGGCTCTCAGAAGAAATTTCAATCCTTGTGCTGTTGGTATTTCCGCGCGGCCATAGCGTTCACCTTCTGAGCCTCCACGTGGCGCCGGATCAGCCGGAGTGAGTTCCCCAAACCACAGGTGGGTCCGGACGGGTCCCCGCGGACACCCCTTCCTCAGGCTGTGCGAAGGGCCTCCTGCTTCCCACGTGTCCTTGCTGGTTCCTGTTGGCTCTGCCGCCGGCTCCCGCGAAGGGCTCCCAGTTTGCCATGGAGGAGCGGACGGTTTCCCGTGTCCTCGGCAGCGTCTCCTCGCTATCGGCTCGGCCTCCCCGCCCTCACTCGGCGGCGAACACCGGGAGAGACAAATGCGCGGCGCCTTCCGCGGCAGCGCCGGTCCATAAATATAAATTGTGCGCTAATTCCCCCAAAGCATCTATACGTTGTAAACCTGGAGACTCCTCACACAGCTGCTCCGCGCTGAGCGGTGGCTTGTCCAGAAGGGGACAATCTGTGTCTCTAATTGCTGTCACTGGAGCCCAGATTCATTAGGCGACTTCCCCATTAAACGTGAGCATTAATTTGTCTGATGAAATATCGCCGCGGCAGCGTTCATTAGCCGAGCCCGCGGACGGCGCGGCTCCTGCCTCCGAACCGCGGTTAATCCCGCTAATGGGCGCCTCCCGGCTCGGGGTGTGCGGGCAGAGGTACGCCCTCACCTCACCGCGGCAACCTCTGGGGAGTGGACCCCGCCAGGTCCTTCCCACAAGAGTGTGGGGCGTCCTCGGGGCAGGGGCGGGAGGGGGCGGAGGGGGGAGACCACGGGCTCTCCGCTCAGCAGGGGATCCACAGGGGCCATGAAATGTCACCTCGGAACAAAAGGGCAAAAGGATCCTCTCCTTTGGGGCAGGGGGGTACTTTCCCCCCTTTTCCATCATCTCGCAGGGGGCCGGCCCCGCTAAGCCCGGCACACGCACTCTCCTTCCGGAAGAGGAATTGGCAGAAGCAGGCAGGCTAGCCCCGTGGTCGGCAAACTCACTCGTCCACAGAGCCAGATACCAACAGGATAACGACTGAAATTTCTTAGAGAGCCAAAATTTTAAAACTTAAACTTCTAACGCCACTTCTTGAAAAAAAAAGATTCTCAAAGGCCGTGGTATTTTGTGGAAGAGCCACACTCAAGGGACCAAAGAGCCGCATGTGGCTCACAAGCCACAATTTGCCGATCACCGGGCTAACCTATCTGATTCTGATCAGCCCAGGACGGTGTGTCAGACAGGAGGGAAGCGCGGGCTCCCAGGGGTGCATGGCAGGTGCATGGCAGAGCCCAGTGGGGGCGGCCTCGCGGCCCCGAGGGTCCCTGGCCGCTCCCTCCACAGCTGGGAGCCGTGCAGGTCTCGGGGCCACGCGAGCTGAGGTGCGGCCCGCTCACCTGCCTAGGAAGGGGTGCGGGGGGACGGGCAGCCGCTGAGTCGGGGAGGGAGGACGCGGGAGGGGTCCCTATCTTCCCACCAGGAGGAAGGACGGTGGACAAGGCCACCCCAGGGCCGCCCCCCACCCCACCGGTCACAACACGTGGCGACATGCTGACTGTCTCCCACGCTCCTGCATGCCCAGGAGGACACGTGTGTTCTCGCTCACAGACTCCTGTCCGGGAACACAGAAACGGGAGGGGCCGGGGACACGCCGCCCTGGGCCGTGGGCTCAGTGGCCGCCAACGCTCCGTTCACTTCGGCTCCTCGTGCGTGTGGCCTGCGCGCTCACACCGCCGTCACGGATGCGCCGAACCGCACACGGACCGCTGCCTGCGCAGCTCCCACGCACGCGTGTAAGCACCTCCCTCCTTCTTTGTTCTTTGATCCAAAGGAAATCGATCTCCATCTGGATAGGATCCTGCCTTTCGCACTCGGCCAACGCTGCTGGGTGTGAGGGGCCGTTTCCACTGGGCGCTCCCGGAATGCCTCTGCCGCGGCCGGTGTCCTTGCTTCTCCCGCGTCTCCGGGGACGGACTCAGACATTTCGGGAGAAGTTTGTGAAGCGGGAACAACAGGCGTCTGGGGAAACCGTTCACGTTTCCCACGCATTAAAGCGTCAGCAGCAGCATCCACCTGCTTCTGTCCAAGTCTGGGCGGCCTCCTGGGGCCTCGGTCCGCTCCCCGGAATGTTCTGGGAGCATCGCTTTCCCGCGGCCAGCTGAGGGGGTCTCTCACGGGATGGGCGGGCTCCTGGCGGGAGGCCCTGGCCCTCTCTGCTGCCTCCCAGGCCCTGGGGGCCGGGGCCACAGCGGGAGGCACAGCCATGGTGAACTGGTCCAGGGATACGTGGCCAGGCCTCCCCTCCTGGGACAGGCCCGTGGCGGGGGCCCTGGAGGACTGTCCCCATGTCCTGGCAGGAGGGGGGCCCCCCCAAGCACCGCACAGCCTCGGGGACCCGGCTCCCCGGGAGGAAGTGCTCTCGGGAGGAGTGGGGAATGCAGAGGTCACAGAGAAGGGGCGTTGGCGCCACGTTCTGGGGGTGCAGACACCCGCAGGCGGGGTCCCGGCCTCACCGCGCTCCTGGGCCGGTCTGCCGCCCGCAACCTGGAGTCTCGCCCGCGGCCGGCTGCCCGTGTGGTTCCCGATGGTCGGTGCTCAGCCGCCTCTCCCATCTGACCAGGGTCCCCCGGCCCCCAGCCCCTCAGCAGGCAGCCCCCGCACCAGGCCCCGCTGCAGGAGGTGGGTCTCTCAGGGATCGCCAGGCGAGGGGCACCCATGGGTGGCCCCTGGGACCGAGACATCCCAGCCTTGGGACAGGGCATGGGTGGCCAGCCTCTCTTTCTACAAACAGCTGCGCCGCAGGGCCCTCAGGGGTGTGAGCGGAGGGAGATGGAGGGGGCCTGAGGGGTGCCGGGCCCGTCTCTCGGAGATCACAGTGGCCACCGGAAGGAGGTCATTCCAGGCGGGGTCCACGGGCACGGACATCCTACAGCGGGACCAGGCCCCTGCCCTGGAGGGACAGACAGGAGGACGGGGAGGGGTGGGAGGCAGCCAGGGACAGAACCACGGTGCCCGCTGGGCCGGTCCCAGGGCCAGGCCTCGATGGAACCTGGCTGTGGTTTCGGGGCTCCCTCCTGGCCTGGGGGGGCTCGCTGAGAGGGGACGCCCCAGGGGCCACGCTCCCAGCCCCCCAGCTCTGCAGGAAGCGCAGCCTGGCCCACACCGCCGTCCTCGGGGCTCCCCCACCCCGTCAGGGAGGTTGGGGGCAGCAGGCGAGGCCCAAGGTTCGCCGCTGTCACTGCTCTGAGGCCCGCGCCCCCGCACACCCTGCCGGCCCTGAGCTGTATTGATTTCCCGGGAAACAGAGCACAATTATTTCTGAAAATGGACGGCATATTTGTCCACCCTCCGGAGCAGCCCGGACTCCGATAGATAAAGCGTCAGGAGGAAAATCAAAGAAAATGGAGGTGTCCGTAGCGCGGATAGATTTTTCTTTCTTGTCGGCCACGTCCAAGCCACTCGCAGGAAAGCAGGAACCGGGACGGAGGGCCAGGGGAGCCGCCATCAGGCCCGCGGCCCGTCCCCCATTGGCCTAAGAGCCCTCGGTCCTTGTTCTCAGGAGACGCAGCCTCCCTCCGCCGCCCCGTCTGGCCACCCCAGGTTGGGGCCGGAGCCCCAGGGGGTTAAGCCAGGGAACGGCGACATCCCCTTCCATACATGAGACAGTCTGACCCTCAGCGCTGTCACCCTCTCTCCTGCCCCGTGCTCCCCGGGGGCCGTCTGGGGGCCCATGTCCGTATCTAATGAACCGACAGGATCCCGGGGCACGTGGTCAGGTCTCCCCTCCTGTGACAGCCCCGCAGTCCTGGCAGCTGAGGAGCCCCCCACAGCCCCCAGCGCAGCCTCGGGGACCCAGCTCCCCTGGGGAGGAAGGTGCACCTCACGGGCCTGCCGTCCTGCACCCAAAGGCCACCGGTCAGTACGAGGTTCGGACGGGCCCTGAAGCACAGGAGGAGGTGCGGCCGAGTGTCCAGGTCCCCGGCCTGCACACAGACCTGGTGGGGGAGGGGGGGTGAAGCCCGGGCCCAGGGCCTCGGTCGGGGTCGGTTCCCCGCACACAGTTCCCTGTGCCCAGGCTCGCGGGAGACCGGACTGAGTGACCCCACCGCCGGCCCCGGCTCACCTGTGTGGATCCGCAGGTGCACCTTCAGGTGGTGGGACGTGCGGAAGGTCTTCCCGCAGTACGGACAGTCCTTCATGGCCGAGCCCAGGCTCCGGTCCCGCAGCAGCGCGGGCGGCTGCACACCGGCCGCTCTCCCCGCCTCCTCGCCGAGGTCTGCAGCGGGGAAACGTTGGCACGTCACTTCACGCCCGTCAAACGCTGTTCGCACCCGAACCGCCAACGCCACGCACAGCCACACGTGTCGACACCACACCTGTCTGTCTCGTTCTCCTAAATCTGACAGAATGCTGACAATTCATGTATTTCCTTGTTATTCTCCAAAATTATTTCATCTTTCCTACCATCGTCTTAAGCAGCATATGGTACCTTTATATCGAACTGAATTAAACAAGAACAGAAACAGCTGTGTCAGCAGCTGGTCGGATTTCTCCTCTTGCTTAGCTCCTATTAAATATAGTTTTCCCCCCAAAAGTTTAGCAATGGAGGGGTCTGGTTGGTGGTGACTAATTTATAAGAGGGGCTGGCGGGAGAGTCTGCCGTGGGACTGAAGTCGCTTTTGCATCGTATGAAGCAACCAACAGAAAATGGAAAGCGTGCCGGCCAAGCCCACAGGCGAGCAGGCCAGGGCTCCGCAGGGGGCAGGAAGGGAAGGGCCCGGGGGGGGGGGGGGGGTCCTCTCGCCCAAGCCGGCTGCTGCCAGGCTGCTGGGACCTCGCGGGTGGGAGAAGCCTGGAAAGGCAGTTCCACAGTCCGCCCGCCATCAGCAGGGAGACGCGCCCACGGGCCCGTAAAGACACGGTAAATCCCCGTCCACGTGGAGCCCACAGCGCAGCGGCACCCACGCCCTCCGGCTGCCGCTCCTGGAGCCCAGACCGTTAGACGGCGGAGCCAGGTTTGCAGGCAGCCGCCTGCCGCGCGGATATGCCGGGCCGTGACAGTGCAGACGACGGTGGAAACTTCAGCATTTGGAGAACACGTCAGGGCCGTGGTTGGCAAACCGCGGCTTGCGAGCCACAGGCGGCTCTTTGGCCCCTGGAGTGTGGCTCTTCCACAAAACACCACGGCCTGGGCGAGTCTATGTTGAAGAAGTGGCGTTAGAAGAAGTTTAAGTTTAAAAAATTTATCCAAAGTCATTTCAATTGTCCTGTTGATCACTGGCTCTGTGGACTGATGAGTTTGCCGACCACTGCGTCAGGGTGAGGCCCGAGGGGGCGGCGGGAGCCGGGGGCCGTGTGTTGGGGGTGGACAGAGGGGGCTGCACTGACCACCTCACCGACCCGAGGCCCTGCGGCGCCCGGGCTGGCGGGATCCTCTCCTGCTGCAGCCCCCAGCCTCCCTGGAGGCCTCACCTAGACCCTCTGGGAGGACGAGGGGACCCTCTGGGGTGACCACAGGCCTGGGCTCTGCGGAGGGCAGAACACACACGTTCCACGGAGCGATGGCAATGCATGTCGCTGCCTCCTGCAGCTCCGTGTGTGGGCTGCACGCAGGCCCACAGGCGTGAGCGGGGCTCGGGGCCCTGAGCTGGACGGGGCAAGCGCCCTTGGCTCTGAGGCGCCCTGCAGACCTCTGCGTGGAGCACCCCCTGCCTCAGACCGCCCACGGCGGCACGTCACCACGGCCAGGCCCGGAGGGCTCGCAGGAGCCCCGAGCTCCGACCCCTCTTACCCGGCCCAGCACCAGGTCGGGGGCCTCCTCACATGTGCAAAGACTCCCGACGAGGGCCGTGGGCGAGGGCCCACCGGCACCGGAGCCTGACGGTGCCTCGGCGAACCCGTGCCGCATGCAGCCAGCAGGGGCCTCGCTCCCGGGCGCCCGTTTCACCAGAGCCCAGGAGAAGGATGGTTCACATAGCGGCAATGCCCGCTCCTGCCTCCCGCCCGCCCGCCTGCCCGCCCTGCCCTCAGCACGGGCACCGGCCTCCCCGCCTCCCTCGGCCTCTGAGGCTGGGACCGTGAGGTCAGTAACCACCAGTGAGCCGCCCGCTCCCAGATGGCAGCGGCCCTCAGCCGGGGTTAGAGCAGCACCAGGCACCCGGAGGCTGTCTCCGGAGAGAGGAGAGCTGGTGGGGCTTTTCACCTCCTTTTCCCTCACCCAGGGTAGTCCTCCCATGGCTTCTCAGCGAGAGTGGGAGGCAGGGCAGCAGGGAGGGAGGGGGGAGGGGAAGGAACATCCATGTGAGGGACACATGGGCGGGCTGCCTCCCTCCCAAGCCCCTACTGGGGCCGAGATCAAACCTGCAACCCAGGTGCATGCCCCCCACTGGGAACAGAACCTGGACCCTTTTCTTTTTTTAAACTGTGTTTTTACTGATTTCAGAGAGGACGGGAGAAGGAGAGAGATAGAAACATCAATGATGAGACAGTCATTGATTGGCTGCCTCCTGCACGCCCCCACTCGGGATCGAGCCCACAACCCGGGCACGTGACCTTGGCCGGAATCGACCCCGGGACCCTTCAGTCTGCAGGCTGATGCTCTATCCACTGAGCCACACCGGGTAGGGCTTAAAAAATATTGTTACTGATGTCAGAGCGGAAGGGAGAGGGAGGGAGAGAGAGAAACATCCATGATGACAGAGAATCAGGGATCGGCTGCCTCCTGCAACACCCCACACTGGGGATGGAGACCGAAACCCGGGCCCGTGCCCTGACCGGGAATCGAACCCTGAGCCAGGCTGGCAGGGCAGGAGTGGGTGTTTGCCGCTCTATTCCTGGGGCCCTCGTGTCCCGTGATCTGCACGTGGGCACAGCCCCCAAGTCTCCCCGCTACAAGCTCTAGTGGCACCGTGGGGCCGTGGGCCAGTCAGACAGGAAGGAGGGACGGGATGGAGCAGAGCGGAGCTGGGGGTTCGGTCCACAGCGGCCCCGGCGGCCCCTGAGCGGTGAGCACAGATAAGGCCGCAGCCTGGAGGTTCCAGCGTGGGGGGCGGGGGGGCGCCGGACTGTCGTCATGTGGAGGCTGGCCGGGCCCCTGCCTTTCATCTCTCCGCCACGGACATGTGTGGCCCAATAAAGAGAATACATTTATAAGATAAACAGCCTTCGCTGCAGATTTAAGAATCTAATTTTCACTTTACACGGAGATGGTTTTTTTTTGGTTTTTTTTTTTTTTTTTGAGGGCCAGAAAGCCCGTGGCGTTTACTCTGAGACTAAATCCAAGCAGAAAAACAAACTCTGGGCGACGATGAAGGGGACGGTGGGTGGTCCCGGGAAGTGTCCGGAGCGGCCGCGAGCCAAGGGCCGGGACGGATGGCTAGGGGCTGTGTGCGGGGCCCTCCCACCCCCGGGCCGCTCAGAGGCCGACGCTGCAGCCTCGTCCCCCGGACGGACGCCCGGGAGGGGCCTGAGCTGGGCCGGCGCCCTGTGCGCCCTCCCGCACCTCACCCCCCCCCCCCCAGCAGGAAGCAATCCGGTCCTGGCTACAGACCGAGGTCCCGCCCCCCAGGCAGCAGGCGGGAAGGGAAGGGGCAGTTTAAATACCGAGCTGTGGTCCTTGGTCGGACGCTGGGGATGGGTGGAGCCTTCTAAGAACTGTCCTTCCCACAACCTAGTTCTCCCCCGGGCAGACGCGCTCCCCAGGCCTTCCGGGGAGGGAAGGACGTGTGGACGGAGGTCAGCCTCAGACCCCTCACCTCTCCTCGCGCTCTCCCGGGCCCGGAGTGACCCTGGGACCGCCCGGACCGGGGTGGCCCTGGGTCCGCCTGGCTGCGGCTGGGGCCGTCTCCTTCCCCTGCCTCCCTGGATGGGGAAAGGCTGGGGAGACCCCCGGGACCCTACACGCCCCGCACTGGGGACAGAGCCCACAACCCGGGTGTGAATCTAACAAGAATCGAACCGGTGACCTCCTGGTTCACAGGTCAATGCTCATCCTCTGAGCCACGCCAGCCGGGCTGGGACCCTGTACCACTACGTACTCTGGGATCCGCTCCTCAGAAATGGAGTCGTGTATGGACGCAGTGATAATATTCCAGAGGGTCTCCCTTCCCGGGTCCCCGCCGAGGACAGGTGACCGGGACCAGGTACCGGAACCCCGCACGCTCTCCCTGCCCCCACGGCGGGAGTGTTTGCTGGAAAAGAGCAGGTAGGCCCAGGTGTCCAGGTCCAGAGCGACTCGGAGAACAGAGCCAGAGACCACGCCGGGGACAAAGAGGCCCCTGTGCATCGGGCCTGTGTCAGCTCTCACTTCATCTCCCCCCCCCTCATGCCCACAGTGCATCTTGGGAAGATTTCCTTTCCAAACGATTACAAGGAGGATGTTAGTGGTGTTGATGGTGATGATGGTGATGATGGTGGTAATGATGAAGTGATAATGAGGTCATAGTGATGATGAGGTGATGGTGAGGATGATGGTGAGGATGGTGGTGATGGTGATGGTGATGATAGTGATGGCAATGATATGATGATGTGAGGATGATGGTGGTAATGATGGTGATGATGAGGTCATAGTGATGATGGTGATGGTGATGGTGATGGTGGTGATGGTGATGATGGTGACGATGGTGATGGTGATGGTGGTGATGAATGGTGATGTTGGTGATGGTGATGATAAGGTAATGGTGATGATAGTGGTGATCATGATGGTGATGGTGGTGATGATGGTGATGATGAGGTGATGGTGATGATGGTGGTGATCATGATGGATGATGATGGTGATGATGGTGGTGATGGTGATGGTGATGGTGGTGATGAATGGTGATGTTGGTGATGGTGATGATAAGGTAATGGTGATGATGATGGTGGTGATGATGGTGATAATGATGTTGGTGATGATAGTGGTGATCATGATGGTGATGGTGGTGATGATGGTGATGATGGTGATGGTGGTGGTGATGATGGTGATAATGATGGTGGTGATGGTGATGATGAGGTAATTATGATAATGTTGATGATGAGGTAATGGTGATGATGGTGGTGATCATGATGGATGATGATGGTGATGATGGTGGTAAGTTCATGCAGTGACTGGAGAGTTTTCTCAGCAATCTCACCCGGATAAGGTAGCTGTTTGTATACCTGAGCACTTACCTCTTTATACCATGAACTAGCCATGGCATTTTGTTTTATGGAATTTCTAGTATAACAGTAAATACATTTTCCTAGATGAGTTGTCAATTCGGAAAGAGCCTTGTTTAAAAAGTACCACAGAAGTCTGAA